TGGTCCAATAATGAGGACCAACCAGAGCCCCTTTGATTCCTCATAAAAATGACCATTCTGTTCCAAAACACTTTTAGCCAATAACAATGGCCATAGGCCAAGTTTTCCCCTTCTCAATAACATCAATACTATTATTTCTAATAGGAACAATATCTTTGAGTTCTCAAATCACAAAGAAGTAAGGACTTAGATCTATTGTAATCTTAAAAGACATAATAGTAAGAGCTATAATATTCACACACAATTGCCACCCTTATATCCAAAGGTACACCTCTCCTTGATATGCCACCCTTATTCCAAAAGACACCTCTCTTTGATATGCCACCCTTATTTCTTCTTCAAAATCTATGAACTAGTTTGGATGAAGGACCGCAGTCACAACCATCTTATCGAATCCTCATTCATAGTTTTATCCATAAAATTATAGATTAATTCCAAATGAAGACAGATCAAAATCACAATCGTSTCAAAAGAATATTCTTTATAGTCTTCAACCAACAGTTTTATCATCAAAACTCTGAATATTCAAGAACAACCAGTTCTTGCAATAATATTTCCAAACTCAAATCCTTTTGTATCCTTTCAACAGGATATCATTACAAAATTATTTTAAAAAAGCAACCTCTTCTTTATCTTTCCTAAAACGGGTTTTTAATACACAAATATATAACAATAACACCTTTAAACTATCAAAATAGTTTTACCATCTTTTCTTCAAAACCAATATCAAAACCCAGCAGTTTACATAATAAAATATATAAAGATTATAGTCATCAAAAACTCACAGTGTAAAATCAACAGTAATTATAAAACTCACAGTTTATAATTAACGGTAGTTTAAAAACTCATGTTAACAAATCACAGATTCTAAAGTTTTAAAACACACAGCAAATCACAAACAGCTTTGAACAAAAGGTTTGTTCAAGAACACTTCTCACCGCCACAATACTCTCTTTCTCTTTGAACAKACTTTTCTTCAAATGAAATGATAAGATAAAATCTTATCTTTTTATTTCTTTAAATACTCCCACCATGGCGGTGAAGATTATTTTAATTATAAAACTCATTGGCGGTGAAAGCTTTATCCATTAGAAATAACCTTGGCTGGTGGGTTTTTCATTATAAAATTCATGATTTCTTAACCATGAAGGTATAAGTTTTTAAATAATAGAATAATGTTTCCACCCGAATATCTTATCACAAAATGCACCACCTCATGTATGCTTCACACCACATGCATATATGTATTACATACATATCATGCCATCTTTTCACATATATGCATGCACAATATCATGTTCACATTTCACATATATAGTTCATGCATTTCTACTTAGATATTCATATTTCACGTAATCCACATAATAAACATGTATAAATTACCTCAACCCAGGTTGTCTCAAACCTGGTTATAACACTTCTCCTACAGTAGGAGAAACTGAATGAATCCATCCAATTGAGAACCCTTTTTTCCTTCGATCCCAACATCGTTTGTCCAATTTCCACACAAACTTTGTAGGAAATTCAACGTAAGTGAGTTCTCGTGCCTCTTCATAAATTTGATTACAATGCATCCAAGATAAGAACATTGAGGACGCCACATATGGTCTGTTTAGCACATTATCAATATTATCTTCAGCACCAAACAYTACTWGTTGTTGTCCCRGAAGATGAAAAGGAAGTCTTAAAACAGAAGGAGTCCTATAATGAACATCATATCCAAAAATACGCCATGAAGCTTCACATGCAGAAAGGTATCTACAATCATAATACTGTTTTATCTCATCAACAACATTAACAGTGACCACATCATCACTGTTTTCTACAATTGCAACAGTAGCTCTATCTGGACCCTTGTTGATGTATTTGAACAGATACTTGATTGAAGATGCCTGATTGCACCACTCAACATTAATGTGGGCTTGATATATTTTCAACATATATTTATTATATGGAACGACATTTTTGTTGTCTAGTTTAACACCTGATTTCTCAATAAAACGTCCATCCACTCGTCTGCGGTATACAGGGTAACCATTAACATCAATTGAAGTGTGTTCAGAACATTTCTTTCGGTATTTTTTGAACACTTTCTATCAACCATGCATGGACAATTAATGTTTTCTTCACCACATGGTCCATGCATAATGAACTCTTTTACAAGTAAGTACAAGTCTGGATCACTATTTTTTTCTGGGATTTCAGCTGAGATGATAGGATAAATCTGTTCAACAGTAGGTAGCTTGAAATCTTGATGCATAAACATACATATATAACTGTGAGGCAAGCCTCGCTTTTGAAATTCAATTGTATAAACAACTACAAAAAAGTTACAATTTAAATTAATAAAGATAAGTCTAAAAGTATAAAAAAAATATGTTGATACTGTTATCATAAATTGAACGTACCTGCTTGATTTTTTTTTCCAAAAAACTCATTCTCTTTTAATTCTCTAATAAGTGCATCAAGCTTGATCTTAAATAAACGACAAAGAATGTCAGGCCTGTCTTCTGGATTTAGGCCTGTGTTCTTAATAAATCTTCTAACTTCTGGCCATTTTGGATTACAAGTCATGGTTAGAAACAAGTCAGGATATCCATACCATTTACAAAGGGACATTGCATCCAAATAATTTTGCATCATGTACCGAGCACCACCGGTGAAAGAAGAAGGTAGTATAACACGTTGTCCAATGTTTGAAACATCCCACTCTCCTTGTTCTTGTACATTGCATAGAGTATCATATGTCTTGCACCTTAGGACTTTCTGCTGCTTACGTATATAATGCAACCTCTCAGTTTCAATCATTGTGTATCCATCAACAATAAATTGCTGTAGAAGCCTCCTTGCATTGAGAAGTAATGAAAACATATTTCTTCTATCTTGAAGTTTGAAGGCGAAGAACTCCCTCATTATTACAGTTTTTCTTTTACTTTTGCTTGAAGATGTTACCTCTCTATGAGGAATGTCAAGTCTGTAACCATCTTCTCCATATGGAAATAACAACGGATATTGAAGAGGAAGATAAGAAAGATGTAATTCACTTATTGATTGTAAATAACCTGTCTGATGTTGTACAATGATATCTTTTTTTTTCCAATTGTACCACCATCATCTCCAACAATTAAAGCTGCAAATTCTGAAGCAGTTGGAAGGTTATATGTTCTTCCATCCTTTTCTCTTTTTTTCAATCAGTCGTAACTTTACCTTGACATCCGGGTAGCATTCAAAACAATCTCTTGCAATTCTATAAGACTTCACCAACACATTTTTTGCATCTTGTATGTCCTTTAAGTATTGAATAATCTCAATATCAAGGGAATCAAAATTTGATGCAGAAGCTTCTTGTTTTTCACTAAGTAACTCATAACAAACATAAAATCAGAGTGACCATTAATATAACCATACACTGTAATTCAAGTAAATCTATTAAGAGATATTACAATAAGGATGAATGTATACCTAAATGAACTGTGTCTATTTGAAACTTCATTTTCGGTATTATATATGTACAGTTAAGAGAATTTCGGTTTTCTTCCATTTAGTGGTAGAAGACTACCCATCCTATGGTAATTTTGACCATTAAGCCAATATATGTATGGTACATTTCCACTATTAATGGAAGTATCAATCTTGCCACCCATTGATGTAAATGAGAACATTGAATTATAACGATGAATGTTCTTCATAAAGTATTTTCTTTTTGAGTCCACACAACGAAACAGATTTACGTAAGAAGAACCTATTTCTTTCTCTTTTGGAAGCTGAACTTTGCCATAAAGACAACAAAGGGAGTAACTTGTTTTCATCCCGCATTTTTTTCCCTTGAAGAGCTTCATCTTTCCATAGTTTTGCATCACATCATTCACAAATAACACTTTCATCATCGTGATCCAAGTACTCTTTTTAATAAATTTGAACGTAATAACTAATTGTAAGTATTAAACATTTGATTATTCAATGATTACCTTCAGATACTCCTTCAATTTTGTCTGTAGCGGTTACCGGATGGTCCGATTCTTCATCTAATGTAATATCAATGATTTGTATATCAGCTACATTTATATTCCTTCTTTGTAATCTATGATGCCCTGCTGATAACCGAACCATAGAAGAAGCTTGATCTATTGTCGATAAAGGGATGGATGAATTGGCGGTAGAACGTAACCAGTAGTGTTTGTTTACATGAATACTTGCTGTTTAAAATATACAAATTTAAGTAATGTAAGACATTTGTTAGTTTTGAAAATTTGTTTGAAGCATTACTTTAAAAATGAGGTGTACAAGAGATTACACATACCATTAGGACTATCAGATAATGGATTTGTGATAGACACATCTGAAGAAGAATGTGGCAAGTTTGTAGGTTGAAATTGTGGACATTTGTTTGGATCCATATTCTCATCAGGGTAGGGAATATTATTCCTCTCAGATGAAGATTCTAAGTGCCTATCATAATTTGAGATATCATCTGTAAAAAGTTAGAGGAAAGGATGATTGTCAAAAAGTGACTTCAACAGAATTCCTGAACATGTAATATTTGTCTCAATCAAAATATAATTCAAAATGCTTTTGAATCAGGTACCTTCAACATTTGATGATGTAGATTTCACTGACTGTCTACTACTTTTCAAAATCGTCTTTCTAAATTTTCTCCTTTCTCTAGCATCCATCGAATTTCTTTTTTAAAAGATCTGCAAGAAAATTAATTTTTCAACAAGAAAGCAGTACATGAAGTCAGTACATAATACAACATTAGAATGAACAACCATGAGAAAATGAACTCAGTAGAAGCAGAGACTCAAGGTAGGACATGAAGAGACAGAGCTCTTTTTCAAATCTTAAGTGTAGAGCCTCTGTGTAGCTCTGTATGAAGCACGAAGGCATTGTTAGAGTGATGACATAGTATGTGCAGAACTTTTGTGAAGGTCTTCATGAAGAAGGGAAACATCAACGTAGCACCTAAAGAGACAGACCTCTTTCTCAGCACTTAAGTGCAGAGCCTCTGTATGGCTCTGTATGAAGCACGGTGAGAAATTGACGGCGTAGCACGTGCAGGCCCTCTGTCAAGGTCTGTATGAAGAACAGAGTCAGGGTTGACAGCCTCAAAGGTGAACAAACTTCCCAGAGTGTAAACCGGGTACGGTGTAGAATTGCAAGTGTGACGTACAATTCCAGAGTATGACCTGACGCCTAAAGGTAGGACATGAAGACACATAGCTCTTTGTCAACACTTAAGTCCAGAGCCTTTATGTAGCTCTGTATGAAGCATGGAGGCAGTGTTAGAGTGACCGCGTATCACGTGCAGGACCTCTGTGAAGGTCTGTATGAAGAAGGGAAGCCTCAACGTACAACATGAAGAGACAAAACTCTTTCTCAACACTTAAGTGCAGAGCCTTTGTGAAGCTCTGTATGAACCACGAAACCTTGCTCAGACGCTTACCAATTGCAGAACCTCTGTGAAGGTCTGTATGAAGAATGGAGTGAGGCTTGATAGACACAAGGCGCAATAAATTTTCAGAGTTAAGACTCGAACCGTACATAGTTGCAATTGGAAAGTCCTCATTCAGAGTAAGCGGCAGGGCCTCAACGTAGGGCATGAAGAGAGTGAGCTCTTTCTCAACACTTACGTGCAGAGCCTCTGTGTAGCTCTGACTGAATCAGGAAAGCAGGATTAGAATGACGATGTAGCACAAGTAGAACCTCTGTTAAGGTCTGTATAAAGAACGAAGTCAGGTTTCACAGGCACAAGGGTGAATAAAATTTCAGAATTAAGACTCAAATGGTCTAGAGTTACAAGTTTGAAGTCCACTTTTAGAGTAAGAGGTCGAGGCTCAATGCAGTGCATGAAGAGACAGAGCTGTTTCTGAACACTTAAGTGCAAAGACTCTGTGAAGCTCTGTATGCAGTACGGAGCCATGGTTAGATTTACAACATAGCACGTGCAGAACCTCTGTTGTGGTCTGCATGAAGAAGAGCAGCCTGAACGTAGCACATGAAGAGATAGAGGTCTTTCTTAACACTTAAGTGCAGAGCCTCTGTGTTACTCATGCAAATAAGTTTAACATTAAATCCAAAACAAAAAATAATGAAAGCATATAGGAAGTTACATTCACCAATTAACAGATCATTGTACAAAACAAAATCCAATCACCAAAACAATACCGAATACGAGAGACAATGTACTTGTACACCCGAACCATGAATATTACTTCTGAAGTGGAGGGATTTTTAACGTTCTTGTAGCCGTTCCTTTTTGTTAAATTAGGAAAAAGGAAGAAAAACATAAGAAGTTCTCGATACTCCAACAGAAGTTAAAAAGAAAGAAAATTCATGCTTGAATTAAAAACATAAGTCTAATTGAAGGCAGAGGTTAAAAATGATCTCTGTTTTACATTAACTATTCAGAAAGTACAGTACAGTTGAAATGAAAGTACAATGCTTGGAAGCTAAAAAAATGCTAAGACAAGAAGATCTAGATGTTTTCAAGCCTGATGAACCTCCTAAGAAGTTCTCAAACTCCAACAGATTACAGATTGACCTTAGAACAATTCTACTTCCTTCTCTTGCTCCAAGGGTGGTCTCTCTACTTCATGTAAGATGCTCTATACGATAATTCACATAGAAGATGGCCTTTGTACATAATACACTTACCTCTTAAGTAAGAGCTCTGTCTGTCCTCGTTCTACGCAGAACCTCTGATCCTGATTCCCTGCTTCATATAGAACTACGCAGACGATCTGCATGTACCACGCAACACACATGAAGTTGCTTCCATACTCATTACAGAGCTGCTTTTCAACTGTCCAGAACCTCCTCGTCCGAAAATAGTTAAATGCTTACAACCAGATATAATTTTCATGAACATGAAAATCAAACATTACACAAGTATGTACTGCAAATGAGTTTAATATCAAATCCAACACAAATAATAATAAAAACGTGTATCATAACATCTGCAGTGTTGATCCCAGATCTCTCAATAACACTAATAATCTAGTTATGAATAACCAAATTATAGTGATTTTACGAAGAAAGTTATGAAGACTCAAAAATAAAATAAGAACATTCAAGAACAATTTTGAGCTTCAAAGGTTTTACTTTATAAATAATGAAACGTAAAACAAAGAGTAAAAGCCTTTTTCTCTCTCACATGCGCTCTTTTCACATGCGCTCTTTTTTACAATAGACCAAATCATCTATTTATACTAGTTGGCTAATACTAAGATAATTACGTATTGCTACCTTCTAGCAAATAGTCTAGCTAACAGATAAAGTTTATCTTTTACATGGATAAACATTATTAACAAGATAAACTATAATTCCAGCTGTTGATTTGTCATCTCCAGCTGTCATTATCAATGTGATGATTTCATCCTTATCTTCAAATCTTCATTGCTTGCTTGGATGAATACTTAGAAAATCTTCTAAGTGTTTGTTTGTCCAGAGTATCGATGAGAACGCTTCTTTCCATCGCATCGTCCATCGGTCGTCTGGTTGAACTTCGTCCATCGGTCCAATGTTCATCGATCCTCTGGTTGGTCTTTCCATCGATCCAATGGTCTAACTTCGTCCATCGGTCCAATGGTTGTTCTTTCCATCGATCCAATGGTCTAACTTCGTCCATCGGTCCAATGGTTGTTCTTTCCATCGATCCTCTGGTTAGTCTGTCCATCGATCCAATGGTTGAATCCAGACTTAGTCGTTTCTACCTTGATGTCTTCATTAGTCTTTTTGTTCTTCCTCACTTGTTTGTTTTTCATTACTTTTTACATTTTGCATTGTGGGGTTTAACAATTTCCCCCTAAGTAATGAAATAACAAAGTCTAATCTAGACACATATGAAGAACATACACTAATCTAGAAGAAAACATCAACTTCCAAGTTTTCGTTGGATGACAAATTTTCTTTTC